TTCTTCTATTCTTTCATTTGTGACATGTTTCTTGGTCTCTGCATTTTGGCTGCTTCCATGTATTTGTTTCTATGATTTGGGTAGAGCTGCTATATCTCCTGGAATTGGTAGAGTGTCTTTATGTAGTAGGGGTCTTGTAGGGCCCAGTTTTTTTATTTTTATTTTTTATTTTTATTTTGGTCTTGAGTTATAGGAGAAACTTGCATATTTTGAAAATTAACCCTTTTTCAGATAGTTTGTAAATATTTTCTCCCATTCAGTATATTGTCTTTTTATTCTGTTTATTGTTTCCTTGCTGTGCAGATCTCTTTTGAATTTGATACTTGCTTTTAGAATCTGGTAAATATTACCTAGTACATAATTGTCCTGTATTACTTAGAGATTTTTAAAAAATCAGGAATTGCTGCTGAAATTGGAAACAGGTACCAGTACTTTTGGGGCATTTGTTGATTATTCCCTATGGTTCTCCAGTTTAATTTGAATATATAATAAATTATTTGAACCTTCCTTGCATTTTTATAACCAGCTCTAATAGAACATAATATATGTATTGCTGGGGCTCTGAATAATAATACTTAAATATTTTTAATCTCTATTCATAAGTTATATTTGTCTTTATTTTGTTTTGGTCCTAGTGTTACAAAATGAATCAGAGAGCTTTCTAACATTTTTTTTTTAATAACCTGAAATAGTAAAAGAAATGTTATAGGAGTTATACATTTCTTAAGAGATGGATTGAGTCATTTGTGAAGTAACTGGGCCTTTTGTCTCTGCTTTTTCAGTTTCCTCTGTAACTCCTCTCCAGGTTTTTACTAGGTGTAGCAGTTAATAATATGGATTTTTTTTCAATAGATGGAGTTACATATATGTTGATATATATGATTTGATATGTATGCTATTTTGTTGTATTCATAACAAGCTTCAAAACTTCATATATCAAATTTGCTGAAGGTATTAACATTATAGATATTCTTACACTTAAAAATATCGAATTTCATGTAAAAAAGAATTTGTAGGAAGTCATAATTCATTATTTTAAAGAAAACTGTTGCTTAATACTTCGGAAAGCTTATGGTGAACATGCTCCATCTTAAGACACTTGTGAACGCTGGTTTAAACACTGTAAAAGTGATAATTTTGGTGTGAAAGACAATATCCAGGTCAACTGAAAAAGTTTGAAGACCAACAATTACAAGCATTATTGAATGAAGATTCATGCAAAACTCAAAAACAACCTGCAGAAAGATTAAACATTGCTCAGCAAACAATTTCAGATCATTTACAAGCAATGGGAAAGATTTTAAAGGAAGGAAAATGGGTGCCACATTAACTGAGTGAAAGGCAAACGGAAAACCGAAAAATCAGTAAAATGTTGCTTATGTGGCATGAAAGAAAGTATTTTTTGCATGGAATTGTGACTGGTGATGAAAAGTGGATTTATTTTGAGAATCCCAAATGCATAAAATCAAGGGGAGATCCAGGTCAACCATCTACTGCAAGGCCAAATCAATCGCTTCAGAAAGAAGACAATGCTCTGCATTTGGTGGGATCAAGAAGGTGTGGCGTATTATGTTTGAGCTTCTAAAACCAGGTGCAATCATTTTGATTGCTACTGACAACAAATAATCAATTTGAACCTAGCTTTGATCGTGAAATGACCAGAATATTCCAGAAGACACGGCAAAGTAATTTTGCTTCATGATAACGCACAGTCATACACTTCAAAACCAATTAAAGACATGTTAAAAGATGTTGCCTGGGAAGTATTAACCCACCCACTGTATTCACTAGACCTTGCTCCTTCAGATCACCACTTTTCCAATCGATGGCACAAGCACTTTCCGAGCAGCACTTCAAGACATATGAAGAAGTGGAAATTTGGGTCTCTGAATGGTTTGCCTCAAAATAAGAAAAGTTCTGCCGAAACCGGTTTGGCTCAGTGGTAGAGTGTTGGTCTGCGGACTGAAAGGCCCCAGGTTTGATTCCGGTCAGGGGCATGTACATTGGTTGCGGGCACATCCCCGGTGGGGGGTGTGCAGGAGGCAGCTGGTCAATGTTTCTCTCTCATCGATGTTTCTAGCTCTCTATCTCTCTCCCTTCCTCTCTGTAAAAAATCAATAAAATATATTTAAAAGTTCTATTGGAATGGAATCTATAAATTACCTGAAAGATGGGGAAATGTGTAACTAGCGATGGACATTACTTTGAATAAAGCACTTTTGATGTTTCTCTTGAAATTACCGTGTTTTCTTTGATTACAAAGTCTGCATTATTAACTGGCACACCTAGTACTTGTTCTTCAGTAAAGTTGAATCACTATATTTTGCTAGAAAATTATTTCTTCTAAATCTTCAAGTTTTGTGCCTTAATACTGCTTATTGCTAGACATGATGTTCTCATCTCATCTCTGTCTGTAGTAGGGTCCTTCCTCATTCTCACTGTGTATGAGTCCTTTTATGTAGAACCACTGGGTACTATATAAGTTTTGCCATCATTCATATACCGTCTTTTGGAACTATATTCAGGAATACATTTTTAAAATGTTTTTTTTACTTGGAAATGTTATGACAATCTTTTTTAGGAAACACTAAATGCATTGTAACATGTCACCTCGTGGATTAGTGATAGGTCGAGATGCTACTAACATTGCAGCATTACCCAGAGTAAAGGTCAAAGATTTGAAAGGCTTGTTAAAAAAAAAGGAAAAAAAAGAAAAAAAGAAAAAACACCTCAGTCAATCGTGCCACTTTTATTTCCCCAACCCTAGAGGAAATGATGTTCCCAAATTAGGGGATAATGATTTTGCTTTTCTTTTTCTACCTCCATACAGAGTAACCTTGCTGTCACAAAAATAATGGCATATATTTTCTATCTATACTAATAAAAGGGTAATATGTTCATTAGACATCTTCCGGTCATCCTACCTTCCTTCTGGACAAAGCCACGGTAGTAGAGCCAAGGCAGAGGCAGTTAGGGTCTATCAGGCCGGCAGGGGAGGGCAGTTAGGGGTGATCAGGCCAGCAGGCCGGCAGGCAGAGGGGTTAGGGATGATCAGGCTGGCAGGCAGGTGAGCTGTTAGGAGCCAGTGATTCCAGATTGCAAGAGGGATGTCTGACTGCTTGTTTAGGACACCTCCCAAGGGGTCCCAGATTGGAGAGGGTGCAGGCCAGGATGAGGGATTCCTCCCCCGCTAGGGGGGGCACAAACTTAATGCACTAGATATCTAGTGTTATTATAATTATGTGCCAGGGCTGACCAGCAGACCCTGAGTGACGGATGAATGATTACTCTGACACACATTTCTGTGAAAGAGAGGGCTAAGGGACTGCCTGGCAATAGGAAATAGTCAGCCTCATTCACCTGCCTCTTCAGGCTTTTATTGTTAACAGCAGTTCGAGATAAAGTTTAACTTTTAGATACAATCTGTAGGGTAAGCATTCTGGGAGGACAGGTGCATCTTCAGTGTCCTTTAAACAGGATGTCTAAAGAGTAGGCATAAAGATTCCGGTAAACACCCGAGGGTCTACACGTACACGGACTTGTTGGGAAAGGTCAGTGAACAGTTAGGGGCGGCCACCTTCAGCCAACTCCCCTAGGTTGGAATTTCCTTCTTACAGCTGTTCAAACCAAGTCTGTGCTTCCTCATAGTTATGTGAATGCTTTTCACAGCCAGGCCTTGAGGTAAACTAACATTTTGCTCTTCCTGCAGTTAGTAATTATTCTTTTAAAATTTTTTCTTAGTTTCTTATGTACTCACAATATTTGTCTCCACATTTTACTTGCTGTTCCCTGGAGAATTCTATGGTTTGAGTTTGCCTTTTTCTAGCATTGAAGTATCTGGTACTACCAGCAGCTCCCAACTGTCCCCAGCCCCACGCCTCTCTTTCTGGGCCATAGCAGGTAGAGTCAGGGACCCCAGGCCATCACTGGTCAGCATCTTTCTGCCCTGTTCCGCTGGCCCCTGCTTCCCATTCTGAAATAGGCAAGGGAGTTTAACTGTTCCTTCGCCACTTGCTGCTACTAACCACGGGTGAACACCCTTCGTCCTCCAAAGCTCACCTTCAATCTGTCTACAGGCGAGTTCTGTCCCACTGATGGCATGTTAGCTGAGCAACAGAAATCAAGTGTTGATTTGTTGGCCTGTGAGAAAGAAAGAAACTAGTGGAAGAATACTGAGATATCAGGTGTGGGAAAGGAGACAGAGACCATGATACAGAGATAACATAATAGAAAAAGGGTCAGAATAACCCCAAATTGGAAAGAATCCTTGTGTGTGAGCTCTGGGAGACTCAAGGACAGTGGCTAGTGAGTTGGTTCTCGGGTGCCCTGTCTTAATGGACCATGGTCCCTCTGGCACTTGGGCTCTTTACCTCTCCATCCCAGTTCTCAGAAACCTGGGAAGAGAACATGGAATTGACGCAGCTTGGGCCACTGATTTCCTGTGGGCATGGGCCTGGGCCTGAGCCTGGGCTTGCCTGTGGTGTTCCTGCTGGGTTCACTGTAGGGAAGTGGGTGTTCTGGCCAGGGCAGATGAAGATATGCAACACAAACTTTCATATCCACAAGCCCGGTTAGCTTATCAGTGAAACTGACTACCCAGATCTGAGAGAGATGCTTCGTGTGGAGGCCCTGTGTGCGGCCATTCATGGCCAGGCCCCAGCCAGGTGTGCAGTGTTGGATCCGCCTCCCTGCCTAGCCTTCCTCAGCTGAGCTGTAGGTCACCACTGGAAGTGCAGCAGACATACTGGCCAGTGTGCATGCAGGACCCCACCCTGGGTCCACTTGGGGATGCCACCCAGTACCCCCAAAGTCTCTACATATACACACTCAGCCACCTCCATGGTATTCCCTGCCCTGCTGTTAGTCCCGTGAGGATGGGGATAGGGTCCTTCCATCTGCATGTCCCAGTGTGGGCTGGTTGAGGGATGAATGAAAAGAATGTGTGTTTATGAAATAAACTGCTTTATGTAAGTTCTTGTATTAATTTTGTTGTTACCCAGGGCAAGGAGATCTGGTCTAGCCCTCTGCAGCCTGCTGCTCTGGTGAATTTGGTGACCTACCCTCAGCTGCAGCTGGTTGTCACTGTGGACGCACAAGGACTCATCAAAGTGTGGGAATCAGAGAGCGGGAGGGAGTCAGCCTCCTTCTGCCTGCCTACACCCTCGTCTGCATTGGAGGCCTCTGACCACCCAGAGGGCCCCTTCCTGCTGGTGAGCGACCTGGCTCTCAGGAGCCTCTGTGGGTACTAGCGTCTCCCCAGCAAAGGGCACAAAAAACATTGCAGTGCAGGGCCACGGAGAGTTGGAGATTGGGTGGATTATCAGGTGTTGTAACCTGGCAGTAAGGTGGGCCGAGAGTGAACAGTCTTCGTACCTGCTGCAGCTCAGCACTCCTGTCACCTGGTCTGAGGAAACAAAAGCCCTTTCTGGAGAAGGATACCAGTAGCCCAGGCCTCACATTATTTCTCTTTTCCGACACAGTGTCCATCACACACCTAAAGCTAACTAGGGGATAAGAATAGTACCTCCCTGACTGGTTTGGCTCAGTGGATAGAGCATCGGTCTGCACACTCAAGGGTCCCAGGTTCGATTCTAATCAAGGGCATTTAGTTTGGCACTAAGTACAGGAGGCAGCTGATCGATGTTTCTCTCTCATCGATGTTTCTAACTCTATCCTTCTCCCTTCCTCTCTGTAAAAAAATCAATAAAATGTACTTAAAAATAAAAAATAAAAATAAAATAATAGTACCAACTAGCCCTGGCCAGGTGGCTCAGTTGGTTTGAATGTCATCCCATACACTAAAAGGTGGTGGGTTCTGTTCCTGGTCAGGGCACATACCTGGGTTGCAAGTTCAATCCCCATTTGGGTAAAGTACAGGAGGCAAACTGATCAATGTTTCTCTCTTTCTCCCTTTCTCTTCCTGTAAAACCAATAAAAACATATCCTCGGGCAGGGATTAAAAAAATGAAAATAATATAGTACCAACAGAACTAGCAGGTTAAACAGTAGACAATTTGAGAGAGCTATAGGGGCTTCGGGTAGTGTGGTTATTTGACACAGACAATAAGACACCAATGATTGTTATGATCAGGGAGGTGAATTTCAGCAGATAACTTAAAGCTATAAAAAATGACACAGACACAGACCACAGCATGGTGATTACCAGTGGGAACAGATTGTGGTGAGAGGTGGACTAGGATAAAGGAGGGATAAATGGTGATGGAAGGAGACTTGACTTTGGTTAGTGAACACACAATACAATATACAGATGATGTATCATAGAATTTACCCCTGAAACCTATATAATTTTATTAATCAAGGTTATCCCAATAAATTCAATTACATTTTTAAAAGCTATAAAAATGATTTAGAAAAGAATCAGAACAGGAAAACTGAAAAGCAAAGGTGAAGAGATCAGTGAATGGACTTGATGGAGGGTGGAGAGTAGGACCACACAGATTGGGGAGGATGGATGCAGCTGTGGGCACTGGCAAGTTCTACTTCTTAGCTTAAGTGGTGACATGAATATTTTCTTTGGTAATAATTCATTGAGCTCTACGTTTGTTTTGTGCATTTTTCCATATATATGCTATATACATCAATTAGAAAGCTAGAATATGGAAGGAAAAGAGTGAGCTGAAGGATAACAATGGTCTGGAACAGAGCCGGGATAGCAAGAGTGTAATTGCGGAAGAGAGGGTAAGAGATATAGACAAACTTCTGAGACATTGTGGACACGATCACTCGTGGCTCTTGTGTAAAGGCAGCTTCTGATCCCATGGGCCCCTGGGGATGCCCAAGATGCTGACTTTTTAACCGGCCTCTTGGGAATATTAGGGCTGCCAGTTCTTTTGAGTAGCAAGACCACAAGGATCTATGAAAAAACCTAGTACTTGAAATCCCCAGAGTAGGTGAGGCACCCCTTTTCTGTAGTCTTGATGCTGAAGGATAGCCTGGCTGGGCACCAGATCCCTGCTCACAATTCTCTTGAATTTTGTGAAACTGTTACTTCACTGTTTCTGTTTCTGTTGAAAAGTCTATAGGTATCTGACTTCACTTGTTAGAAACTTGCATATTTAAACTCAAAAGCCTTCAAGATATTTTGAAATATTTAAAGTCTAGTAGTTTCATTGTGACATGTCTGCAGTGATCATCTGGGTCACCCTTCAGTACATAGATTCAGGTTTTTTTATTTATTTCTAGAGAGTTTCACTATATGTGAATTTTAATTATTAATCTGTTAATGAAGTGTTCCTCTGTAGGAACTTGTCATGTTTATTAGACATTCTTGCCTATCTTCTTAGATACTTTCCAATTCATTTTAGCCTTTCATTCTACTTTTGTTCTTGTATCTGTTTTCTTCTCTTCTAGTGCCCTTATGTGTTCAGAGAATGTTTTCTCTCTTAGGTTTATTATCTTCATTTTTTTCCCCTTAATTCTCACCCGAGGATATTTTTCTATTGATTTTTTAGAGAGAGTGGAAGGGAAAGGAAGAAGCAGAGAAAGAAACATCGATGTGAGAGAGACATCAATTGGTTGCCTCCCACATGCACCTGGACTGGGGCCAGGTGCCAAGCCTGCAACAGAAGAACAATCCCTTGACTGGAATTGATCCCGGGACCCTTCAGTCCACAGCCAATGCTCCGTCCACTGAGCCAAACTGACAAGGGCTATTACCTTCATTTGTGAAGTAACTTTTCTTTATTTTTTCCTGATGTTTTTATTGATTTTTTTTTAAGAGAGAAAGAATGGAGAGAGAGAAACATCAATGTGAGAAAAAACATTTATTGGTTGCTTCCTGTATGGCATCCTGACCAGGAACTGAACATGTAACCTGGGCATTTGCCCTGACTGGGAATCAAACTGGCAATCTTTTTGGTGCATAGGGCCATACTGTCCAGGCGAGATAACTTTTTCATCAGTGTATTTTGTGAATTAATTTCTCTTATTTAATATCTTGTGGTTTTTTTTTTTTCTGTTTCCATTCTGAGTGTTGAATTTCTGATTCCAGATGTCCCTTCATATGCTTGTATTGTGATATTTAACTCCTGTCCATGTGGCTATAGATCTCTGGTTCCTGGTGGAATAGTTTTACCAGCTTCAATGTGTTGCTTCTCTCTTTTGCTTTCCATGACCTTGTTTGTTGCCATTTTTTGTGTGTTGTGCAGAGTTTGTGTTTTCTTGGCCAGTACAGACAAGTGTTTTCAGGAATAGGAAGTCCAGATTGTGTTCCAGGTGCAAATGTCTGTGAAAAATGTTCTTCTAAAACAGTAGGTGATGTACAAGCCATTCAAGAAACGAGCCCTTGACCATTAGGAGAAAGAAGCTAATTTACTCCCATATCACTCCTCTGTGGAAATACATTCAAAATAATTAAAATTAAATTAAAAGGCAGTTAGCCTTAGCTGGTTTGGCCTGTGGACTGAAGGGTTCTGGGTTCGATTCCGGACAAGGGCACATGCCCAGGTTGTGGATCGGTCCCCAGGAAGGGGATGTGTGCCAGCCTATCAATGATTCTCTCTTATCATTGATGTTTCTCTCTCTCTCTACTCTTCCTTCCTCTCTGAAATCAATAAAAATATGTTTTAAAAAATGTAAAAGGCAGTTATAAAATTTTCCCAGGGATAATTGATTTTTAAAATCAATCTGGGATGTGCCCAGCCTTGCTAGGCAAGACAAAACCTGGAATTGAAAAAAATACACAGATTTACCGAAATTAAAAACATCTGAACAATAGGGCATTATAAAATTAAGACATAAAAAATCAGGAGAAATCATTATCTTATTTTAAAAATCATTAATATATTATTTGAAGCACAGAGATCTAGTAGAAAAATAGGTGAATACATGAATGGTCAACTCATAGAAGAAGTACAAGTGGCCAATAATGTGTAAATGTGAAACCCAATTCATAATCAAGAAAGTAGCATCGCAAGGCTTTTGGCCCACTGGATGAGCAAACATATTAAAAAAATTGGTATTATAATAAGTTTGATGAAAAATATTTTATACATGGCAAATAAGGATATAGATTGAACACTTTTAATAAAGCTTTCTTTTTTCCCCGTTAGTAGTTTTAAATGTGATACTCTTCAGACCTAACAATTCCAGTTTTAGGGACCCCTCGGGAGGAAATATTGGCGTTGTCGCACAAAGATCATTCATGGTAACGGAATTTGTAAACAACCTAAATTTCCATCATAATGGATGAAGTAAAAAGTCCTGGAAAAAAGTCCTCTGATGAGAAAAGATATTTGGAAACAGAAAAGACGGGCAGGCTGCAGAATAGCATGTGAGCGTGAGGGATAGCAAGGGCTTTTGTGTGGAGGGAGGAGAGGGCTTGCTCTCGTATTGTGTGAGTAATTCATTACTGTTGACTTAAGTGGCATTTCACCCCAGCGAGGAAGGCGTTGTGTGGCCCCTGTTCCTTGGGCGAGGACAGGAGTGCGCAGGTGGTCACCGCACTTCGCATTGCAGGTGGCCTGTGCCGACGGAACGCTCTGCACGCTGACGGTGCCCGGGCTGCAGCTGCTGTCCAGGGTGAGCGTGTTCCCGAACCAGCCCGCCAGCCTGCTCTGCTCCCCTGACTGCCAGTGGGTGTTCACATTGGCCGAGGACTCAGACCTGAGCCCCAAGGTCAGTGCTGGGCTGTGTCCCTGGTCCCAAGGGCAGGCTTTGTGTGCACAGGTGGTGGGTTCTGTGTCCGGTCTTGCACATGCATCTGGGAGGGCGCCTTCTCGCACAGGACCACGTCTGTGGCCGCTCAGGGCCCCCAGCTGGGCAGTGGGGGTGCCCGCTGCTCCCCGGAGCCGCTGTTCTCTCCAGGCTGCTGTACTGCCCACAGGTCGGAAGGGGTTCGTTGGCTAGAGAGGACAGAGTTCTGAAGGGGCTTAAGGCTTTAGGGACATCTCAGTGGAGTGTCATAAGACATTCAGCGGCTTGAGAACTGAGCTTCCATGAGAGAGGATGCTGACAGTGTGGGACAGCATCATTGCCTGGACAGGGCACAGCATGCCTGCTTCGTGGCCAGCCCATGGCACTGAGGACCACCACAAGCACCAGAAACCCGGGACCCAGGGAGCATTCTGGTGATTTCTGGGCTCGGAGGCGTCCAGCCTGAGTGCCAGGAACCGACCTGGAAAATTAGGGCGGAGTTGGAGACCACTGGAGAGGGTCTAAGCCATGCTGGCGGGTAGATGAGGCAGGCCAGGAAGAGAGCAAGGACAGGCAGGGCAGTCGGGCGGCAGTGCCGGGGCCTGGTACCAGGGAGGTGAGAGGTCTGCCGGGGCCATGGAGGAGAGGCTTCAGGCAGGGGGCAGGTGGAGGCCGGTCACCGGGAGTGGGACTGCTTGACAATCAGTCCTCAGGACGGACAGGAAGTGTTTGAACCAGACTGCCTGGAAGTAGGAAGAGAACCTGCAGGCAGACATGGGAGGCAAAAGTGAGACAGTGAAGTGCAGCTGCTCCACAGCAGGAGAGCCGTTTACTGGATCCACTCAGCTGCCCTCACTGGGACCCACGGACCCAGGCCTCTCTCGTGGCCAGACGTGGGCGGGGCTTAACCTCATTCCCTGGTTCAAGCCACGTGGGAAGGAGGGTCTGCAGTGGCACAGCCGCTCCATGACACCAGTAAGGTCTCTGTGGGGGCGGGTCCCTGCGCAGAGCCGCTTGGAGGGGCTTCAGAGTGCTCTGGGGTCAGAGACGTCTCCCGTCATCGCACTGAGGCCGCTGGTGGTGTCCCCAGGTGTTCCACTCGCAGTCCCTGCTGTGTCCCCCAGAAGACGAGCCTCCCGTCTCCACTGCGCTCCCCATCGGGCTGACCTCCAGAGCCTGCTGGGCCCCCGAGGAGGCAGCCAGGCTGGCGGTGATGCACAGAGATGACAACAGCGTGCAGTGGGTGGTCACCACCTACGAGCTGGGGGCTAAGAAGTGCAGGGATGCAATGAACATTCTGGGTAAGGATCCCCTATCAGGACTGTGGGTCTGCCTGGCACAACATTGCATAGGATGCTTCAAGCGCAGATCCCTCATGTTTCCATGGGGACCCTTTCTTGTCTTGCAGTGAATATAGTGACACAACAGCTGTTTCCTTGTTTGTGATGTTACATGCTGGGTGGGTGGTGGAGCACCTGCTTTGTGTCAGGCCCTATGCATAGCCCTGAATTCAGACATTAACTTCTGTCCGCTTACAGCCTGCCCTCTCCTAACTTACTCACCTTCTTCCCTTCACCCTGCTTCTTTTCCGTGTATTGAAGGCATGTTCTCAGTGCCGAGTGCCGGCAAAGATGAATAAAAGCCACAACTCTCTCTTCCCCAAGGAGCTCCTAGTCCAGTAGGAAAATAAGATCCACAGCCCTCTTCTTCCCTGTCTCCTAAACCCCACACTGCTCTAGACATGCCTTCCCGCTGGTCCTTAGCACATTTTCTGTGGTATTATGACATGTTTTCATGTCATCATTTGACCTTAATTTTCATTCTGAGCTTCCTGGCAGCTGAGGAAAACGGGAAAACGGGATATGTAATAATCCCTAGTCTGAAATGAGAAAGCGCATGCATTTTTCAAAAGAGGTAATTTTTCTTCCTGGTGCTAAATTCCATCAGGAAGTGATCAAGTTGATTAAAAAAAACACACACACAAAAAAACAAGGAATGCCATAGGTGTAAAAGACTGTGTCTTCAACGATAGTGTTTGGCAGATGTCGTAAGTGCCGTGGCTCTCATGTGGCCCTTTTCCATCGCAGCCTGCCCTACTGAGGAGGGGCAGGAGGAAGGGTGTTCACTCTCCCCGTCCTCTGCCCGGGCTGTGTGCCAGTCCTGTCACACACACGCACGGTCCCCTGGGAGACACCGCATTCCGTGCGCTGGAGCCAGGGCACGGGAGGCGGAGGGAGTAAACGCGGTTCAGCCGTGAGCGCTGCTTTCGCTCTGAAGCCTTGTTCTGTTCAATGTGCCGCGTCATCTCAGGCGGGGCACGCCTGTCCCGCGCTCCAGCGCTGCCAAGAATGACCAGGGTGTGTTTTTATTTCAAAAAGTACAACAGGTCACAAGTTTCATCCTGCCAGACACCATGATGCCCCCTCACCTCATGAAGGGGCACGGCTCCCAAGTGGTGCTGCTGGTGTCGGGGTCTGAGCTGGTGCTGTTCACCATGCACGGCCTGCGGCTGGCAGCCTTCCAGGACCATCAGAAGCCCATCACGGCCCTGTATGTGGTGAGTGCAGCACATCCGGCCCGGATGGAGGGCCTGCCCCGGACGGAGCCCACATGCCGCCTCATGTAGCTTTTCATTTCAAGGACCAGAGCCGAGTCATCACCTCTTCTTTCGACCTCTCCTTGCGAGTCTACTTGTGGAAAAAGGAGAATAAGCTTCCTGCCCTCAAGAGCTGCTGTTACTTGCTCGGGGGCTCCCACCGCTGGGCCAGGTAATTGCATCTGATTCCTCCTCTACCTGTAAGATGGCCTCTCCTGGCCTCCCTGCAGTACCTTTTTTAAAAATAATTTTTTATTTTTAATGTCTAAAGTTTTATGTATGTCTCCTTTTCCCCCACTGACCTCCTGCCCTAGCCATTCCCACCCTGGGCAAGTCCTCCCCCATTCCCCCCCCCGCCCGGCCCGGCCCAGTGTCTGTGTCCATTGGTTATGCTAATATTCATGATACAAGTCCTTTTGTTGCTCTCTAACCCCCCTCCCCCCCCCAATCTCCCCTGCTGTTTGTCTCTGGATCTATTCTTGTTCATCAGTTTAAGTTGATCATTATATTCCACATGTGAGTGAGATCATGTGATATTTATCTTTCTCTGTCTGGCTTATTTCACTTAGCATAATGCTCTCCAGTTCCATCCATGCTGCTGCAAATGGTAAAAATTCCTTCTTTTCTATATCAGCGTAGTATTCCATTGTGTAGATGTACCACAGTTTTTAATTCACTCATCTGCTGATGGGCACTTAGGCTGTTTCTAAATCTTAGCTATGGTAAGCTGGGTTGCTATGAACATAGGGGTGCATATATCCCCGCAGTACCTTTTCAAGGATTCCCTTGGAAAGAACGTGACTGGAACTTGGGAGTCCTAGCCTAGCCTGCCCCTCACTACTTGGGGACCCAATGAAAGGCACTGGTCAGAATCTCTTCCCTCCTCTGAAAAAAAAGATGTTCTGCATCCTCTACCCAGTCTCCTTTAATGTACGAAACCACCACCCACAGCTGGCATCACCCACAATGCCCCGATGCAGTGGGGGTGCAGGGGTGCGGTTATTTACCCAAAGACCCACAGGGATGCCCAGTGAGGTCCGGGGGGGCCTGACAGCCCTGCGGCCCAGTCTTCTCCCCCCTTCCTAACCCACACAATTCTGAATTCATTACAGACCCTGGTCGGGGAAGGCGTCTGTGGGGGCAAGACAGTGAAAGTCTGAAAGAAAGCTGTTTTGCAACATGTTTTCAGGTTAATAAGTTGGAACCACTTACACGAGCTTTCTTGCCAGAGTGCTATAGGAAGATCAGGGCTTCCAGAGTTCACATTCCCTCCGGGAGAGTTGTTAGTCTCTTGTCAGGAGATAGGCAGTAAATCCAACCTCCTGTGACAAACATCTCACAGCTATTTTAAATTTTATTTTATTTTTCCCATTACCATTTATTCCCCCATACCCTCTTCCACCTCCACCCCCCCTGCTCCCTACATCACCACACTTGTCTGTGCCCATGAAACATCATACAAACGTAAATGAAAAAGTACAATGCTCCAAACCAAATATTAAAAATTACAGATTTCTGTAACAAAGCTACGTATTTTTTGAATTGTAAATCAGTAGTTGTTTGAAGACAATTATTAGAGGAAATTCCTAAAGCAGGAGAATCTTAGTTCTTTTCAGTAAATAAATACAATTTTCTGGGAAGATTAGTAGAGTCAAATTAACTTTTAGGAGCATTGATCTGTAGGTAGTTTTTAACCCTCTCAACTTTCTAAACAAACGTAAGGCCAACTCAGGCTCTGCATTCTGAAAAGCATTGGCACCAACAACTGCTTCCCTCAGAATTCCTCAGTAAATCCCTTGCACGTTGGAGGTCTGGGCTGCACCGAAGTGTCTGGGAGCCCTGCCGTCCGTGTCCATGTTGGCAAGTGGTGCAGTTCTGTATGTACGTCTGCCAGTTCGCTTGGGGTACATTTGTGCCTAGGTTCCCTGTGCTTGGAGAGGCGCGTGGCCTCGCTCTGCTGTGTCTGCTTGTGACCGAGGCCAGCCCGTGTGAAGTGAGCCTCTGTCAGGAATAATGATGACCTCCGTCCAGGGGCAGGGTAACCTCCCGCTGGGGAGATGCATGCAAACGCCTGTGCCTGTGGCCTTGTTCAGGTCAGCCTTCGGGGGCTGTGCTTACGTAGCTTTCAGCCTCACAGATGCGCTGTTTCTTTCTTTTTTATTTATGACTTTACGGAATTCTCTGTTGCATTCTTTACTGCAATACGAGTAGTTAGAACATCCTCTCACTGACATAATACTGTTCTCAACTTAGCAAGCAAGTATCACATCTAGAAACTTCTTTATGTCTTTTTAAATACTGCACTGTATGCATCATAAAGCAACATGTACCCGTTTGCTGTATTGCACTGGTCTCGCCATGGTAAGCAAGCAGAAACTTTGGAATATTCCATTTCACATGTGCTTTTAAACACTGCAGTACATGCATTGTAAAATTGTAAGCACATCCATCTGCTGACGTGACACTATTTTCTTTTCTTTTTCTTTTACCAAATTGCTTTAATAGAAACAAGTTTCCTTATGTTTGAAAAACAAAACTTAAAAATCAGCAATACTTTCAACAAAACTTATAAAAACTAACTAGTGACTTTGAGCATGTTTTCATGTGCCTTTTGGCCTTCCTTCTGTCTTCTTTTGAGAAGATTTGATTTAGATTCATTGCCCATTTTTTTAATTGGCTCATTTATCTTCCTTTTACTAAGTTGTATACGCTGTCTGTAGATGTTGGAGATTAAACCTTTATCAGTGATAACATTTGCAAATATGTTCTCCCATACAGAGGGCTTTCTTGTTGTTTTGTTGATAGTCCTGATTTTTTAAAATAAATCTTTATTGTTCATATTATTACAAATGTTCCTCATTTCCCCCCTCCACTGCTCCCTTCCACCAGGTTCCCACCCCACCCTCTGCCCTTTCCCCACCCCTCATCCATAGTTGTACAGTTTATGTTCAGTCTCTTCCCGCATCCCCCCCACTCCCCTTTCCCCAAGAATCATCAGTTCACTCCCCTTCTATACCTCTGATTCTATTATATTCACCAGTTAATATTTTTCATCAGATTTTTTTACTTCCCTTGGTTTTTAGATTCACTTGTTGATAGTTATGTATTTGTTGTTCATAATTTTTATCTTTATTTTCTTCCTCTTCCTAGAGAACCCCCTTCAGCGATTCATATAATTCTGGTTTGGCGGTGATGAACTCCTTTAGCTGTTTTTTTATTTGTGAAGCTCTTTATCTGGCCTTCGATTCTGAGTGATAGCTTTGCTGGGTAGAGTATTTTTGTATGGCCTGCATGGTTTCTGTTGAGAAATCAGCTGACAGTCATATGGGTGCTCCTTTATAGGTAACTACCTGCTTTTCTCTTGCTGCTTTTAATATTCTCTCTTTGTTATTTGCTCTTGGGATTTTAATTATGATGTGTCTTGGTGTGGTCCTCTTTGGATTCCTTTTGTTTGGGGTTGTGTGCGCTTCCTGGACTTGTAAGTCTAATTCTTTCACCAGGTGGGGGAAGTTTTCTGTCACTATTTCTTCCAGTATGTTTTTGGTATCTTGCTCTCTCTCTTCTTCTGGGATCCCCATAATTCTTATGTTGGTTCGCTTGAAGTTGTCCCAGAGGTTTCTTACATTATCTTCAACTTTCTGGATTCTCTTGTCTTCTTGCTTCTGTGGAGGAGTGTCTTCTGGCTCTTTATGTTCCAAATATTTGACTTGATTCTTGCGATCTTCCAGTCTGTTTTTAGGACTCTGTATAATATATATATTTTTTTATTTTAGACAATGCATTCTTTATTTCTAGTTGATCCCTTTTTATTTCTAGTTGATCCCTTATCATATCCTCACAGGTCTTGTTTATTTTATCGGCCTTTTCTAGGAAATTCTTGAAAAACCTTATAAGCGTGGTTTTGAACTCTATATCCAGTCGCTTTTTGTCCTCCATTGCTTTCGCTTGTGATCTGTTTTCTTGTCTCGGCATTTTCGCTGCTTCCCTGAATTGGTAGGGTGGCTTTGTGTGCTGAGGTGTCCTATATGGTTCAGTGGTTGAGGCTCCCAGTTACCTGAGGTGGACACTCTTGGTGCCCCCTTTTGTGGACTGTATGTACAGCCTTGTTGCAGTTAAGTCTTGATGTTGGTATCACTGGGAGGAACAGACCTCCAGGCCTATTGGCTGTGAGGATCAGCTGTGTCAGTGCCAGGAGACTGCCTTATTCGACTAGACTTGGAAAATTTACCCTAAATTTACCAGCAACCGAGCAGCACTCCCAAAAGCCTCTGCTTGGCTTGGGTGGGGTGGAGTTTCAGGATGGAGCCTACAGTCTTGGCTGCCTGTCAGCCCCACCCTATGAGTTTCCTGAGTCTCAGTGTTCCTCAGTGTCCTTTGGTACTTGCTGCAAGCACCTCTGAGAGAAAGGTGCCCTCGAGTTTCGCCTGCTATCGAACAGTCTAGACTCTCCCCCAATGAGCCGGGAACTGGGGTTCAGTGCAGTTGGAAGTGGGGTTGGAAGTGGGGATCAGAGCAGTCTGGAGCTTTTGTCTTCTTCCCACTAGATCACTCCAGTGCACAGTCAACACTTCGTTCTCTGTGCGCAATGTGGGCGCCTCCAGGGCTCTGCCTTTCCCAGCTCTTTTGAGTTTCTGCCTTATAGCCCAGATTCCTTCCATATGAGCCTAGGTCCCCAGGGTCTGGCCTAGAACTGGGGTTCAGTACAGTCAGAACTGGGGTTCAGCACAGTCTGGAGCTTTTGTCTCCTTCCCGCTAAGGCAACCTAGCGGCAGAGTCAACAGTCCGTCTTCTGCGTGTAATGCGCGCACCTCCAGGACTGCCTTTCTCCTCTCCTCTGAGTTTCCGCCTTACAGCCCAGACTCCCTCCGTTTGAGCCTGAGTCCTCAGGATTTCGCCCAGAACTGGTGTTCAGTACTGTCAGAAGTGGGGTTCAGCACAGTCTGGAGCTTTTATCTTTTTCCCCGCTAAGGAACGTCAACCAGGCACTCAGCCTCCCCTCCTCTCTGGCTCCGTCCTCTCCCCGTGCACACCGATGTGACACTATTTTTAATGTGGCAGATGAGTGTCACATCTCAAAAAATGTATTTTAATCAGGACTCCAGAATGAATGGATCATGACCTCATATTATGCCCCTTCCCTGATTTACAGTACATACCTCCAGAAATCCTTAGTTTGAGTGATAATTTCTTTTTTCAGGAGCTTCATTTGGCAATAATAAACCCAGAAATCTAGCTTCATACTGTTGTTCCCTGTAAGTTCTAAGATGTGCAACATTTTATCTCCTTTTTTGGCACCTTAGTGAATACTGCAAGAAATAACCAACATTTTCTAGGAACTTTCCAGTTTCCTAAAATGTTGTCATATCTGAATACGAATTCTGATTTTCCAAAGAAAATGTGTATTAGACCTAAATTTACCAGCAACCCAGCAGCATGCCCTTAAGACCAAACCAGGAGAAACAGACATGTCTCCAGAAAGACGTCAGAGGAAGGTCCGTATGTACCTGAGGAAATAAATTCACCTACAACCAGACTTTATGTGAATGTTCACATCTACTCACGAGAAATGGACACACATCACACAAAGACTTGCAAGGGATGTTCTGAGCAGTTTTACTCAACCCAAAGAGTGCAGACAGTGCAAATGCCAGTCATTATGGATAAATCCATTGTGGTCCATCCATACAGGGGAATATTACTGAGCTATAAGAAGGAATGGCACATTGACATACACTTAACATGGGTGAAATGCAGAAACATCGTGCTACAGGAAAGAAGCCAGATGTATAAGATAGAACTGTGATTCCTTTTATGTAACATCCAGGAGAGGCAAGTCTCTAGAAACAGAAAATGAATTAGTGGCTGCCTGGGGCTGAGAGTAGGATGGGATTATTTATCAACCATAAACAAACAAACAAATAAATAAATAAACAAACAAATAAATAAACAAATAAATATTTAGATAAAGATTTTTTTTCTAGATTTATTTTAAATATTTATTTATTTATTTGTTTATTTATTTATGGTTAAGCCTCATCTGAAATAATCTTTTTTTTTTTTTTTTTTTTTTTTTTTTAGAGAGAGAGAGAGAGTGGAAGCTGAGGAGGAAAGACAGAGGGAGAGAAACATCGATGTGAGAGAGACAAATCAATTAGTTGTTCCTGCATGTGCCCCAGTTGGGGATCAAGCCTGCCACTGAGGTACATGCCCTTGATCAGAACCCTTCAAACTGCAGGCTCTAGCCACTGAGCAACTGGGCTAGGGCACAACAGATCTTTTTGGAGAGATGGAAATGTTCTAAAACTGTATCATGGTGATGGTTGCCCCACTCTGCAAATTTACTAAAAATCCATTGAGGAAAAAAAGACGTAAAGAGGAGGAATGATGATTCTAAAGAGAGAAAGCAGATGCACATTCAACCTTCTTTGTCCCAGAATCACAGTGATCACTGGCTGGCTGAGGGATCGGGGAACAGCTTTCCCCTGAATAGACCAGCCAACGCTGCAGTTTCCTGAGTCTGGAAACTGTTACATTCCACTCGATATTAATTTCTAAGTTGAATAGAACTTTAGTTGCTTCTGAAGGAAACACAAGAAGTTCCTTCTCTAATTCTGCTTTTGCTTCGTTTGGTTTGGTTTTCTGTATACCTGCTTTGATTTTTCTCTCATGCCTCAGCAGAACATTGTACGTTTGTCTAGGCAGACACAGGTAACATCACAGAGAATGGTGGCCTTATAGCTGCTGTGTTTATATCTTCACTGAGACTGATTAGGAACTGATGATTTTAAATGCTGGGGAAACGCTCAGACCTGCCAATATTACATCAGGAGAAGTTTCCAGAATAGTCAGGATCACTGCGATTCAGGCAGCTATTCCCAGGAGGGTCCAAAGCTGATATTCTCACTGCAGAAGTGATAGTATTTGCTAATAGTTACAAATGAATGTAGGCTCTCAAATGTGGCTGGGTGGAGGAGGCATGAGGATGTGTGTAAAGGCCCTATTGCCTACACATTTGTCCTTGTCTCAAGTTAACATGCAGCATGTCCTTCCCTTCACAGTGGATTTACCCAGGTGGAAAGTGACAGCATGAGCATTGTGGGCGTGGAAGCCAGAAACACTGGCACAAGTATTCTAAGGTCATACTACTTCCAACTGCAGCGAGACCAAGGTAACTGCATTAGTTAAAGATCATCTCACTTTGGTGAATAGCTTGTGTATATACAGACTAAAATGATCTTTTAATCAACATTGGGAAAGGAAGTAATTTTCATATGCCTTCTAGGGGTGGGCACTGTGCTATTTGAGTCTATGTAGATCATCACAGCAAGCCCATAACATAGGAATGATTCTGTTTTTCAGACAAGGAACAGGAAACGTAACAGGAGAGTCCTTAACCTGTTGTTGGCCTTCGTTCCAGCTGCCTAGCAACCTGCCCAGCGCTATTCAGATAGTAAGTGGCAGAAAGGAGAGAATGTCCACTGGGGGCCTAGAAAGCCCATGCTTAAAGTGCTGGGGGTGTAACAGAATCATTTTTGTTGTTCAAATATGTAAGTAAATGTATTTTATCTTCTTATTCTTGTGCAATGTGCTTTAGACACATTAATAGAGTTCTTGCTCTCATGTCGATGAGTTTCATGGCACTGCATCATACAATTGTAGGAAGACTTTTGTATTTTTTGACAGTGGTGCCCCTGGACTTGGCCCACCCAGAAGCCCTGACTGATGTAGTCAGAGTTCTAATTGTAAGCAAGAGGAATAGCAAGCTGGTGGGTCTCTGTGAGCCTTCCTCAGATCCTTTCATTAACTCCTGATGTAGCCCAAGATATTCTTTATTAAGTGGATATAAAACATTAAAATATTCTCTCTAGCAATTGACCACAAGTGAAGTCTTTACAAGTTTTAAAATAGTAATTGCTAACTATAGTTCAATAATTCCTTTTTTTTAAGAGTGCCTTTGTTATATACACACGGAAGATAGAAAACATTTTAAGATAGATGGATTAAGTAGAAATAAAATCTCAATGAAATAGGGGCAGAAGATAATTTTCTTGATAAGGGAATCTAAAAGAAACAGCAATCATGCTTAATTATTAGAAACATTTCCACTGATGTTAGGAGCAATGTAAGGATGACATCACCAATATAATTATTACCTTGGAGGTCCTAATAAATGAAATATGGTTTAAAAACAAAACTGGTTTTTAATAATATTAGAAAGAGGTATATTAACCATAATTTCTAAAAATATATTATCTTTAGAAACCCAAGAAAATAATTAGAATTAGTAAAGCAAAATTCCTCATGATTGGTGACTTAGTTATATACATATTAAAATTAGTATATCAACAATTAGAAAATACAATAGGAAAAGTATCCCATCACAGTAACAGCAGAAATTATATCTTGAAATGATCTTTTTTTTTTTTTTTTAATCCTCACCCAAGGATATTTTTCCCATTGATTTTTCTTTTTAAGGGAAGGGTGAGAAAAGAGAGAGAAACATCAGTTTAAGAAAGATACATTGATTGGTTGCCTCCCTCATGTGCCCTGACTGGGCCTGGGGAACAAACCTGCAACCTAGAAATCAAACCTGTCACCCTTTGGTCCATGGGCAACACTCTAACCACTGAGCAGTGCCAGCCAGGGCATCTTGAAATTATCTTTTTTTATTTTATTTTTTATTTTATTGCTTCAAGTATTTCAAAGAGTAGTACATATGTCCCCCCTTTTTTCCCCATTGACCTTCCCCTGGTCTACCCTACCCCCCAGTATCTTGCATCCATTGGTTATGCTTATATGCATGCATACAAGTCTTTCGGTTGATCTCTTACCTCCCCTTCAACTCTCCCCAGCCTTCCCACTGTAGTTTGACAGCCTGTTTCATGCTGCTGTGCCTCTGTATCTATTTTTCCCCCCTAACAGTTTATAATGTTTATTATCCATACTAGAAGCCCGATACATGAAATTTGTGCATAGGAGTGTGTGTCCCTCAGCCCAGCCTGTGCTCTCTCCAGTCTGGGACATCCCTCTCACAATCCAGGACTGCGGGCTCCCAACCACTCACCTGCCTGCCTGCCAGCCTGACCACCCCCCTAATCACTCCCCTGCCAGCTTGGTCACCCCTAACTGCCCTCTCCTGCCAGCCTGGTCGCTCCTAACTGTCCTCTGCAGGCCTGGCTCCCCACCAACTGTCCTCCCTGCAGGCTTTGTCATCCTCTCCCCCCCAACTACCCTCCTCTGCTGGCCTGGTCACCCCTAACTGCCCTCCCCTGCAGGCCTAATCATCCCCAACTGCTCTCCCTTATAGACCTGGTCCCTGCCAACTGTCCTCCCCTGCTGGCCTGATAGCCCACAACTGCCTTCCCACTGGTCATCTTGTGTATTGGAGTAATGGTAAATTAGCATATTCCCTCTTTATTATATAGGAAATGAGTGAGATCATGTGGTATTTTTCTTTCATTGACTGGCTTATTTCACTTAACATAATGCTCTCCAGTTCCATCCATGCTGTTGCAAATGGTAAGAATTCTTTATTTGTTACCACAGCATAGTATTCTATTGTGTAGATGTACCAGTTTTATAATCCACTCATCTGCTGATGGGCATTTAGGCTGTTTCCAAATATTAGTTATGGTCAGTTGTGCTGCTATGAACATAAGGGTGCACATATCCTTTCTGATTAGTATTTCTGGTTTCTTGGGATTTTTATATACTACTAGAGGCCAGTAATTCCATTTCTAGGATACTGTGCACACTCCCTCCCATGCACAGTATCCTAGAAATGGGATTACTGGCCTCTACCGTGTTTCCCCGAAAATAAGACATCCTCTGAAAATAAGACCTACATACAGGTTTCCTTCTGAGTGAAATATAAGACATCCCCCCGAAAATCAGCCCCCCTCTCCCCCCGCCCCCCCAGGCTAAACATGAGAGATGTGGTCCACTGATTCTGAAAGAAATGGAGTCACAAGAAATTCACCAGGAAATTCAGGAATTGGATTATTATGATAATGTTCCAGAAGATGATAACATGATTGTAATTGAATAAATGAGTAAATTCTTTAAAAAAATATATATATTTTTTATTGATTTTGTACAGAGAGGAAGGGAGAGAGATAGTTAGAAACATCGATGAGAGAGAGTCATCGATCAGCTGCCTCTTGCACACCCCCCACCGGGGATATGCCCGCAACCAAGGTACATGCCCCTGACCAGAATCGAACCCGGGAGCCTTCAGTCCCCAAGCCGACGCTCTATCCATTGAAACAAACCGGTTTTGGTGTAAATTCTTGATACTTTAGGATTCAGTTTGTCTGGTTTGTGTTGACAACTACTGTACTACCGTACTGTATACAGGTAATAAATTTCCTTTATTTTCATTTAACAATAAATGTGAACTGTATTCTTCTTCATGGAAAAAATAAGACATCCCCTGAAAATAAGACCTATCGCATCTTTGGGAGCAAAAATTAATATAAGACACTGTCTTATTTTTGGGGAAAAAGGATAGTAGTATATAAAAATCTTCCCATCTATGGAATGTTAAGGGGAAACCCAAGACAATAAAAGCCTTCCATATTCGATATCCCACTATTTTTTGGTTGTACCAAAAAATAAATCAGCAAATGATTTCACCTCTTTTTTTTATTTTTTTCCTTTTTATATTTATTTATTTATTTATTTTTATAAATCTTTATTGTTCATATTATTACAAATGTTCCTCATTTTCCCCCCTCCACTGCTCCCTTCCACCAGGTTCCCACCCACCCTCTGCCCTTTCCCCAAACCCCATAGTCCTCATCCATAGTTGTACAGTATATGATCAGTCTCTTCCCACACACCCCACTCCCCTTTTCCCCAAGAATCGTCAGTCCACTCCCCTTCCATACCTCTGATTCTATTATATCCACCAGTTAATGTTGTTCATCAGATTTTTTTACTTCCCTTGGTTTTTAGATTCACTTGTTGATAGTTATGTATTTGTTGTTCATAATTTTTATCTTTATTTTCTTCCTCTTCCTAGAGAACCCCCTTCAGCGATTCATATAGTTCTGATTTTGGCGGTGATGAACTCCTTTAGCTGTCTTTTTATTTGTGAAGCTCTTTATCTGGCCTTCAATTCTGAGTGATAGCATTGCTGGGCAGAGTATTTTTGTCTGTAGATTCTTGCTATTCATCACCTTGAATATTTCTTGCCATTCCCGTCTTGCCTGCATGGTTCTGTTGAGAAATCAGCTGACAGTCATATGGGTGCTCCTTTATAGGTAACTACTTGCTTTTCTCTTGCTGCTTTTAATATTCTCTCTTTGTTATTTGCTCTTGGGATTTTAATTATGATGTGTCTTGGTGTGGTCCTCTTTGGATTCCTTTTGTTTGGGGTTGTGTGCGCTTCCTGGACTTGTAAGTCTAATTCTTTCACCAGGTGGGGGAAGTTTTCTGTCACTATTTCTTTCAGTATGTTTTTGGTATCTTGCTCTCTCTCTTCTTCTGGGATTCCCATAATTCTTATGTTGGTTCGCTTGAAGTTGTCCCAGAGGTTTCTTACATTATCTTCAACTTTCTGGATTCTCTTGTCTTCTTGCTTCTGCGGAGGAGTGTCTTCTGGCTCTTTATGTTCCAAATGTTTGACTTGATTCTTGTGATCTTTCAGTCTTTTTTTTTTTTGGACTCTGTATAATATTTTTTTATTTCAGACAATGCATTCTTTATTTCTAGTTGATCCCTTTTTATTTCTAGTTGATCCCTTATCATATCCTCACAGGTCTTGTTTATTTTATCAGCCTTTTCTAGGAAATTCTTGAAAAACCTCATTAAGAGTGGTTTTGAACTCTATATCCAGTTGCTTTTTGTCCTCTATTTTTTTTGTTTGTGTTCTGTTTCCTTGTCTCGGCATTTTCGCTGCTTCCCTGAATTGGTAGGGTGGCTTTGTGTGCTAAGGTGTCCTGTATGGTTCAGTGGTTGAGGCTCCCAGTTACCTGAGGTGGACACTCTTGGTGCCCCCTTTTGTGGACTGTGTGTACAGCCTTGTTGTAGTTAAGTCTTGATTGTTGTTGGTATCACTGGAACTGACCTCCAGGACAATTGGCTGTGAGGATCAGCTGTGTCAGTGCCAGGAGACAGCCTTATTCGACTAGACTTGGAAAATTGCAAAAGCCTCTGCTCAGCTTGGGTGGGGCTGAGTTTCAGGGTGGAGCCTACAGCTTTGGCTTCCTGTCAGCCCCATCCTATGAGTTTCCTGAGTCTCAGTGTTCCTCTGTGTCCTTTGGTACTTGCTGAAAGCACCTCTGAGAGAAAGGTGCCCTCGAGTTTTGCCCGCTACCAAACAGTCTAGACCAGGCGTCTTCAAACTACGGCCCGCGGGCCACATGCGGCCCGCAGAGGAGTCTGATCCGGCCCGCCAGGTTTTTTGGGCAGTGAGCGCAGCCACGGTGTTACAGTAGGAATTAGTAGTTCATATAGTCCGGCCCTCCAACTCTCTGAGGGACCGTGATCTGGCCCCCACTTTAAAAAGTTTGAGGACCCCTGGTCTAGACTCTCCCCCAATGAGCCTGGAACTGGGGTTCAGTGCAGTTGGAAGTAGAGTTGGAAGTGGGGATCAGAGCA